ATATCAGAAAAGGTGTGTGTGTGTGTGTGTGTGTGTGTGTGCGCGTGCGCGCGCACGTGCTTTAAAAAACATGGTCTCTTCAATTAGTCCAGCCATGATATTAGATTGGAAAAAAAAAATTCCTTCTGGGATCCGTATCATTAACGTGGAGTATTTGTTCTTTGAATTTCTTGCCTTGTTTTTAAGATCACCTTATTATGCAACATCTGCTCTGAATTTCAAATGTGATAAACAGAGTATGAGTGTTGGTGGCAGATGGCTAATGACCAGCAGTGACAGGCCATTCAAGCCTGCCTTGTTTTCAGAGAAGCGATATTTTCATGTTAATTTGCTCTGTGTCCTGCAAAGATGAGACAAATCACCTGCTCATAATTCAGGCAAAGTGGAGACCACCAGAAGCTGAGAGGGGCCACGGCTTGATTCCTTTAGGGATGAGAAGAGAGAAGGCTCTGGGAGACTTTCCTCATCTGCAGTACAGGGGACCAGCCAGTCAGTCACTTAGCATTATGTCAGCTCTAGAAAGATGAATCAGCCTCGGGCATCCCATACTGACACCAGAGCCACTGTTTACCGCAAGCAGATATTATTCATGGAAACAGATATTTCCCAGAGGCAGAAAACAGGTGCTATTAAGAGTGTATGTCAGTCTCTGAAGTCTGGGTTTTGTAAAATAAACCTAATAGTATGCTTTATCGCCTACTGAAACTATTACAACCAACAGAAATCTCTAGGAAACATTCAACTGAAGATAAAATGAAATGTAATTCGCAGAGAAAATGACCCACACAGACACACAAACCTTGAGCTTTTTTGGCCTGCTCAAGCCCTATAGAATTCATTTGTCATAGAGATACAAAAATAAAATAGAATTTTTAGTCCAAGATTGAGTCATCCAAAGAGGCCATATGGTCTTGAGCTAAAAGAACCCTATCCTATTTTGGAGAGGCAGCTCATCTTCTTTTTTGTGTGATCTTTCAGTGCCTTCGAATTTCCACTTGTGAAATTATAACTGCCGATTGCATCAAACATGTGACATTCACAGAATGTCCAAAGAATGATACTAGGTTCTCAAAGCGTTTATAAGATAATTGAGAGGCCAGGTCATTTACTGGGACATATAATATACTATATAAAGGGAGGCCTAAGTACCAAATGATAGTTCAGTAAAAGAGGGCATTACATTTTGAAAGCATGGAAAGCATAAGATTGTACACAGGTATCTCCCCCATATATATCCTGCCATATAGTTTGTTTTCTGGGTTACAAATGACTAAGGAAGAAGGTGAGGGAATGTTCTTCTTGAGGATAGCAGATAAAGTCATGAGAGACAAAAAGTAACAATCTGAAAGCCCTGTTTTTTTCTCATAAAGCCCCCATAAATAGAAGGTACTATATAAGCACAAACTCAAAATTTATCATGAACCCTAAAAGAAAAAAATAAGACAATCATTAAGGTGTCAATTACTGCCTCATAGGTTTTAGCTTGGAAGTCCAAGATGGCAGTATCAAATTTCAAACAATCAATAAAAATTAAATAAAGACAGCACTGAATGTCTCTATAATTAAGTAGATCAAAACATAACTTCTGAGTTAGAAAAAAGAAAGCTAGATATTGCAAGATAAGCCTATGAGGCAAAATTTGATACTTGTTGATTTCACAGTATAGCAGGCAATAGATTTCTTTATGGAAATGTCACCATCAACGTGAAAGGATATACCTTAGGGCATCAAGAAAAGAGATTAAAGAATGTGATGAACATCTCATGATGAGGTATAAGATGTATATATGTGTTTATCTGTTTTTTTAGACTGTTATATTTTAAAATGTTGGAAAGAACCACCTATGATTTTATTTTATTCTCATGAACTTCTCAATGACAATTTTCAATTCAGGACTATCCCCTTAACTCACTTTATCAAGTCTGACATGAGCACTATGCAATAATGACAAAATTTCCCCATGAGTTTGCCCAACTAACAACCTTCAGAAATACTTAGGGATTCAGGGGAGGTTTTCTGCCCTAAAGAAAGAAACAAACAAAACCTCAAACAAATGGTATTTAAATGCATTTGACAAATTGATATATGTAAATTGGGAAAATAAGCCCATCATAAGGTTATTAGAAAACAAGCGGCTTGATGAAAATGGTATTGAACACAGAAATTTTACTCCTGTAGTATCTGGTCAGAGACCATGGTACATCCCAGTTTTATCCAACCTCTGCTCTCCTAGTGCAATTTATGTCCTGAATGTGCACTAGGATATCTAGAATTTAAGTGGGCTAACTGGAAAATAATGCACAGTAAACACAGTGGGAGACAGGTGGTTGAGGAAAATTCCCTTAGCCTACACGGTCTTATTGGGGGTCTTTCCTTGATTTTCTAATTTACATATATTTCATGTTAAAATATTTTACATATTTATAATTATTTTGCAACATGGCATGTTCTGATACATATTAGACAATGTAATTAATATTTATGATTCTTCAGAACATTTTAGAATATATTTTGGTATCATAAAGCAAAAAATCAGCTACAGATTGTGCCTCTTGACAAACGGGGTTTTTTTGTTTGTTTGTTTGTTTTTCACTTGAAAAGAACCCTAAACTATTTAGCCACAGATAATGTGTACCACATGCTTCTGTGGGCCCTTTACCTCTTCCCTGATACTCCAAGGTCCTTGAACCTATGTTCATGACTAATTTAGTTTTGTGTCCCCAAAGTGTCTAGCACAGAACTCTCTCTGTACATGTTCAATTAATATTGGTACAAGTATATGCAGGAAAACTCTTATTACAACAAAGCATTATATATAAAGAATCCAGTCTATGTTCCCCATGGGTTGTTCCCAATAACAATATTCTCTTGATATAGTTATTGAGACTTCTCACAAATGAGTCTATACAATAATGAAATATTTCTATTCTCTGGTTGTGTGCTTCAATTAACCAGAACCTCAACTAGCTCGCAACCTTTTACCTAGCAGATGTTTATCCTGTATACCAATTCTTAAAAAAAAAAAATCAATCACAGAAACAAGTGTTTATTAAAAATAAATTTGTATCAATTATGTAGTCAGCTTAAAACTGTCCACTGGATGGTATTCTAGTGCTTTTAAATCATCATTCATGTTTTCAATAATGACCTTACAGGGTCACAAATGCTCGAATCACCAAAAAAACATAACAAAACAAAACAAAAAACCCCTTCTATTTAATAAAGAAGAAAAGTAGATTAGCATAGTTCAGAAAGTTTTTAAAAATTAAAAATGAAGATAAAAAGGGAGCGATACGTAGAACAAGTGCTTTAAGACAAATGAGATTACATCCAGCTGTAAAAGTTGATCAAATGATATCTGGGGGGGGCCTTGTAAATTTTAAGCAGACGGTTATGGGTGGAGAAAGCAAAGAAATGGCAACGAGAAGGAGAGCCACATAGGTAGGAAATTATGAGCCACACTGTGAGAATGGGGATTAGTACAATTTGGCCAGAAAATAAGGGTTCATGAAAAGGGGCTATGCCCCCTGCATGCTGAACATGGATGGGATTTTGCACAAACTCATAAAGGAGAGAATTGAAGCCACATGACTGAAACAGAATTTGAGAGGAAAAGTGGTGAACCATACAGCAGATAATTAGGAATACCTATATTTAAAGGGATTTAATGTCCTTGAAACTGCACAGGAAGAAATGAGACCATTACTGAGTACCATTTTTGTTTTGTTTTGTTTTGTTTTTAAAGAAAGGCGGATGGGAGAAAATAAATTCTATATTAGTCTAAAACCAAAGGAATAAACCATTCAATATGTCAAGTTCTAAATGTGTCAGTATCTGGAAATACCACCTATCCACTATCACTAAAAGACAATTCTTACTGTGTTCAGAAGATAAACTATTTTCAGTTATTCACGCCTATCTAAAATGATGCTGAATTCTTTAAACTTTTTTTAACTTTTCAGTTACAGTTGACATTCAATATTATTTTATATTAATTTGAGGTGTACAGCACAGTGGTTAAACATTTATATGATTTACAGAGTGATTCCCTAATAAGTCTAGTACCCACCTGGCACCATACACAGTTATTACAATATTCTTGAGTATATTCCCAATGGTGTACTTTATATCCCTGACTATTTTGTAAATATCAATTTGTATTTTTTAACCCCTTTACCTTTTTCACCCGCCCCCAACCCACTTCCATCTGGCAACAGATGAATTCTGTAACTCATTTCTAAACAATGAATGATAAGGTAAGGAGTTTGTTTAATTAAGTCACCAAATTCACAAAACCAAAAGGGTCTTCATGAAGACCTGCACATGATGTGCATAGATCTAAAAGATCTACTGGGAAGTTCAATTAACCAGAATGGAATTAAGACCAACAAAACTTTATAAGTAGCTTTTTCCATTAGACTTAAAAAAGAAGAAAGAACTCCTAGGCAGTACACTGTATCTAGCTTGCTGACCTCTAAGGAGTCTTAAGTCATCTTTGAATTCCAAGAATTTGGGATGGTACCTGGCATTGAGGCTTCCATAAATGTTTTATGAATGAGAAAATATGGAGAAAGGGCCTAATAACCAGTATTTCAGATTTATATAGCAAAGATATGTCCTGCAGCCAGTATATAATTATAATATTCAATGTGCTCATGAATAATGTTTCAAATGATATCTCTCTGAGTCCATGAACCATCAGAAAAGACTGAGCTATATTTACCACACTATACTTTACAAGATTAGAGCTAGATAATGTACAAATAAATATTTTTCAATAAATGTATTAGAACTAAAGGATTTTTCCACTGAGTCCTAAAATTAATGAACTAGAATATATCTTATTCCGTAAACATCCCGCTTAGTTATATTAGATATATCTATACATATTGCGTTAAAAAAGCTTTAACTCTGGCAATTTTCATAGGGAAAGAATACCATTGCTTAATAGACTATAATAGTGTGACTGCTTGACCAGATAGAAAGATGATTCCTAGTACCTTTATGGTTTCCGTGGGCACTCCAGGCTCTGGAACTTTATCCAAATAAGTGGTCAAGTCTTGATCAACATGTTCAAACACTAATGTTAGTTTGGTTTCTCTGTCTGTTCGTGACACTGTGCACACGTCAAATAACCTAAAAGAAAGAAAGAGATATTAAGTAGATGGCAATGAGCAAAGAAGTAACCTGTATGTCTTACACATAACCCCTCAATTTGATAAAAGAGGGGGGGAAAAAGACAAGCGTTGACCATCCCTTGTGATAATATGTAAGAATACCTATTGTGATACAACACTTTAATAGTTACATGAGAATTTCCAGTCAAGATGGCAGAGTAGGTAACCCTGTGCTTGCCTCCTCTCACAATCACATCAAAATTACAACTAAACTGAAAAATAACCACCACTGAGAAGCCACATGGAGACTGATAAGAGGGGGCAGAGATGCAGAATGGGCTGGTCCCACACCCATGTGTGGCAGTTAAAAATTTGGAGGGCGATCTTGGCTGTGGAGGTCCCCCTTGGAGGAGTGAGGGTCCCAGCCCCACACTAGGCTCCCCAGACTAGGGTTCCAGTGAAGGAAGAAGTCCCCACAACTACTTTGAAAACCAGCAGAGACTGTGGCTGAGTGAGATGCAGGGCAGCTAGAGTCCCAGGCGTTCCTCTTAAAAGGCCCATGTACAAACTTACTATCTGATGGACTCACTTGCTCTCAACTCCAGTGCTGGGGCAGCTGCTTGAAAGGTGCCAGGGACATACGGGGAGGAACTGAATTGTCTGGCTGCAGGGTGAGGGTTGGAGGGGCAGCTTTCTCCCAGACAAAAGTGCTGGTAGAAGGCATTGTTCCTTTGTTGAGCTCTCCCACCTCCCACCATGCTGACTTAGATGAGCGCCATATATGAGTATCTATCAGCTTAGCTAACACAGTTTGCCCTTCCCTAGTGATTCCCTGAGACCTCCACCCCATACAACTTTCAGGCCCACTGAAGCCACTTCCAGGAGCTTCTGCATACAAATACCTTGTCTTGGCTTATGCTGCAGACTTTCCTAAAATCTCTCAAAGGTTCACAAACCCCAAACAAGCAGCATCTGGCCTCAGTGTGCCCCATAAATCTTGCTAAGCGGCCCAAAGCCTGGTAGTAGTGGAAGAGGACTTTGTTTACAGCTAGCCCCTCCTAGGCACCTCCAAGCCCAGTGCGGGCAGTGGCCATCTGCAGATTGCTTTGCGGCTCATGCCAGCTGGCCCCTGGCAGGGCACAGGCTGCAGCTGAACTTGGCCTGTGCCGGGGCCCATCCCAGGAGGCTTCCGAAGCTGGCATGCCCAGTGGCTGGCTTCGGACCCAGCTGGAGCACCACCCAGCTGCCTCCATGGAAGACACATCCAAAGGGAAGTCTGGGCAGACACCAGAGACCTGCTAAAGAAATCTTGCCCTGTAGAGTTAGCCTGCATGGCAGCTCCCTCACTGCAGTCACAGTCAGTCTTTACAACCAATCAGTCTGAGGGTCAATCCCTCCCACTGATGTGTAAACAGCAACCAAGACTTGACTACAACAGGAGGGAAAACACAATCCCCAGGGACACACCTGGAGCACCCAACTCAGGTGACCAGGGAAACTGCACGATGGGCCCCACAGGACACCTACTATTGGGTTGTCGGAAAAGTCATGACACATTTTTGCAACGAAAAACATAGAAAAAAGACGTCATGAATTTTCTGACAACCCGATATATAAGGCCACTCTACTAATACTGGGAGACATAGCAGCTCTACCTAATACATAGAAACAAACACAGGGAGGCAGCCAAAAGGGGAAACAAAGAAACGTCCCAAATTAAAGAACAGAAAAGAGCAAAGCTCCAGAAAATGAACAACAACAACAAAAAAAACAGAGACAAGCAATCTACCCGATGCAGAGAGCAAAACACTGGTTATAAGGATGCTCAATGATCTCAGCAAAAACTTCAACAAAGAGATAGGAAACATAAAAATGGAGACAGAAAAAAATAAAAAAGGATCAATCAGAAATGAAGAATACAATAAATGAAATGAAGAATACATCAGAGGAAGTCAACAGATTAGATGAAGCAGAGGGTTGAATCAGTGATTTAGAAGGTAGGCTAGCAGAAAACACCCAATTAGAACAAAAAGAAAAAAGTATCCAAAAAAATGAGAATAATTTAAGGGGCTTCTGGGGAAACATGAAGCACTCCACCATTAGCATCATAGGGATACCAAAAAAGAGGAGAGCGAGCAAGGAACCGAAAATCTGTTTGAGGAAATAATGATTGAAAACCTTCCTAACCTGGTGAAGGAAATAGACATACTGTGTTTCCCCGAAAATAAGACTGGGTCTTATATTAATTTTTGCTCCAACAATCTACATTTATTCATTTATTCATGTACAAAAATCTACATTTATTCAAACAGTCATGTCTGGCTGACGATCTTAACTGGGGCTTCTGTTTGGGGTACAGCTTATATTACGAGCGTTCTAAAAAATCATGCTAGGGGTTTATTTTCCAGCTAGGTCTTATTTTTGGGGAAACACAGTACAAGCCCAGAATGCACAGAGAGTCCCAAACAAGATGAACCCAAACAGGCCCACCCCATGACACATCATAATTAAAATACCAAAGGTTAAAGACAAAGAGAGAATCTTAAAAGCAGCAAGAGAAAAGCAGTTAGTACCTACAAGGGAGCCCCCATAAGGCTGTCAGGTGATTTCTCAACAGAAACTTTACAAGCCAGAAGGGATAGGCATGAAATATTCAAAGTGATGAAAAGTAAGGAACTACAACCAAGATTACTCTACCCATCAAGGCTATCTATCATTCATATAGAATCGAAGGATAGATAAAGAGTTTCCCAGACAAGAAAAAGCTAAAGGAGTTCATCATCACCAAACCAATACTGTAATAAATGTTAAAGAGGCTTCTTTAAGAAGAAGAAGAAAAACATATGAACAATAAAATGGCAAAAACTACATATCTAACAACAATTACTTTAAATGTAAATGGATTAAATGCTCCAGTCAAAAGATACCAGGTGGCTGGATGGATAAAAAACAAGACCCTTGCATATGCTGCCGACCAGAGACTCACTTCATATCGAAGACACACAGACTGAAAGTAAAGGGATGGAAAAATATATTTCATGAAAATGGAAACAAAAAAGAAAGCTGGGATAGCAACACTTATACCAGACTAAATAGACTTTAAAACAAAGGCTATAACAAGAGACAAAGAAGGATCCGCAATCCCACTTCTGGGTATTTATCCGAAGAAATCCAAAACACTACTTCGAAGGGACGTGCATCCATATATTCATTGCAGCATTATTTACAATAGCCAAGATATGAAGGCAACCTGGTTGTCCATCAATGGATCAACTGATAAAGAAGATGTGGTACATATGTACAATGAAATATTACTCAGCCGCAAAAAATAATGAAATCTGCTACAACATGGACGGACCTTGAGGGTATTGTGTTGGGTGGAATAAGTCAGACAAAGAAAGACAAATGCCATGATTTCACTTACACGTGGAACATAAAGAACAAAATAAAATTGGGCCGACCAAGTGGCGCGCTGGTTAAGAGTTGGCTTGGGAGCACCAGCTCTGAGCAGCAGGGCCCTGGTTCGGATCCCACATGAGGACCAGTGACACTGTGCCCTCTACAGCTAAGATGGTGAACAACAGCTCGACTTGGAGCTGGGCTGCCGTGAGTCTCCGGGGATGGCATAAGCTGCAGTGAGACTGCAGTGGGCTGCCATAAACTACATGAGTGGCTGGCAGCCAAGCGTGAGTGGCTGCAGCCAGCATGAACTGCCAAGAGCCCCCATGAGCGGCCGTCCAATGGCTGGCGACTGATATGCCTCAGCCGGGAAGAGCACAATGATAATTCGAACATGGGCCAGTGAAGCAACGTCCTCCACAACTAGACTGAAGAACAAAAGGACAGCAACTTGTGTGTTCCCCTTCCCTGATTCCCGAACACTGTTTCCTCCCCCAATTTCCCAATAAAATCTAAAAAAAAAGAACAAAATAAAACAGAAACAAACTCATAGATACAGAGAACAAACTGATAGTTGCCAGATGGGAGGGGAGCTTGGGGGATGAGTGAAAAAGGGAAAGCGATTAAGAAGTACAAATCGGTAGTTACAAAATATTCATGGGGATGTAAGGTATAGCATAAGGAATATAGTCAATAATAATGTAATAACTATGTACAGGTCACATGGGTGCTAGGTTTATCGGGGTGATCACTTCGTAAGTTATACAAATGTCTAATCACTATGTTGTACACCTGAAACTAATACAATATTGCATGTTAACTGTAATTGAAAAATAAAAATATTATTTAAAAAACATCAATGTGAAAGCTAAGGAGAGGAGCACTTGGTTAAGTGGTGACAAAATGCATAGGAGTAAAGGGCATAAGTTCTTAGTTTTAAAATTTCAAAGAGAAAGCAACATGGCTGGAGCATGAGACTATCTGCTTGGAGTTTCCTTGGTTAAGACCTTCGGTAGAACTTGATGATGGAGATAATTTCACAACTGCAGCCTAGGAAGAATATGGTGCTTCTCAGCGCACAGTTCCAGAATTATTAAAGAGACAGACTGAGCATTCTTTGGAGATGCTGGACTCTGCAATGAAGGTTTTTTTTTCTGGGATTTAAATCATGCCTGTGAAAATAAGTATGATGAAATATGGAGAAATTTATTCTTTTTTGAAAAACAGCCTTCTCATCCTGATAAATCATATAATTTTCCTGGAAAGGGCATAAATTTTTAGTTTTAAAATTCCAAATTCTTAATCAAAACTGTGAAACTTAAACTTTTTTCTGGTGATGGGGGGAGAACTGCATATCACCCTTAAATGATAAAGACAAACAAATGTTATCATTAAGTTTGGATGGGTGAATTCAGTATCTTCCATAAAATCCTACAACTAATACAAAATTTAAGTTTTAAAAACAAAGCCTTTGGTAGTAAAAAAATTTCCCAAAATTTCCCAAAAAATTTCCAAAAAAATGCCAAAGGACAAATTTTCCTTTAATTTCAACCGTACATAGCACACTATCTGGTACATGAGATGCTCAGCAAACGTTTGAAGAATTAAACAAACCACCTA